TGAAAAGGAGAAGAAGAATGAAAAGGAGAAGAAGAATGAAAAAGGAGAAGAAGAATGAAAAGAAGAAGAAGAAGAAGAATGAAGAAGAAAAGAAGAAGAATGAAAAGAAGGAGAAGAAGAATGAAAAGAAGGAGAAGAAGAATGAAAAGAAGAAGAAGAATGAAAAGAAGAAGAAGAATGAAAAGAAGAAGAAGAATGAAAAAAGAAGAAAGAAGAAGAAGAAGAAAAGAAGAATAGAAGAAGAAGAATGAAAAGAAGAAGAATGAATGAGAAGAAGAATGAGAAGAAGAAGAAGAAGAAGAATGAGAAGAAGAAGAAGAATGAAAAGAAAAAAAGAAGAATGAAAAGAAGAAGAAGAAGAATGAAAAGAAGAAGAAGAATAATGAAAAGAAGAAGAAGAATAATGAAAAGAAGAAGAATTCCAGTACAGCAAAAAGTGTATCTGCAGAGAGCTCCGCTATTTCTGACAGTTCTCTGACAGTTCCTTCACATTTACAGCGGTTGAAACATTGTATCTATTTGTTTCCGAATAAAAACATCTGTATCCTAAATGGAAACAAATAGATACAATGTTTCAACCGCTGTAAATGTGAAGGAACTGTCAGAGAACTGTCAGAAATAGCGGAGCTCTCTGCAGTGACACTTTTTGCCGGCTGATCGGGGAAAATTCGATTCGTGCATCCGAAGTTTGCTAAAATTCGGATTCGGTGCGAATCGAATTTTTCCTAATATTCGAAACGAATTCCACTTCGCCAAGTTCAATTCGCTCATCTCTAATCTACACTAATAATCAAGGCACTGATTATCAGGGCACTGATTATCAGTGCAGCCCCAAAAGTGCCCAACATTGCTGCCCAACAATGCTGCCCATCAGTGCCCAACAGTGCTACCCAGCAGTGCCCAGCAGTGCTGCCAATTTGTGCCAGTCAGTGCCCTTAAGGGCTGCCTATTAGTGCCCAACAGTGACGCCTATCCGTGCCTCCTCATCAGTGCCCACCAGTGCTGCCTCATCAATGAAGCCTATCAGTGCCCATCAGTGCTTTCTATCAGTGCAGCCTCATCAGTGCCCATCAGTGATACTTATCAGCGAAGGAGAAAAGTTACCTGTTTGCAAAATTTTATAACAAAAACATTTTGTTCTTTTGTTGATAGTGCAAAAAATAAAAAACCCCAGTGGTGATTAAATAAAAGCAAAAGAAAGCTTGATTTATGTGAAAAAATGATAAAACTTTCATATGGGTACAGTGTTGCACTACAGCGCAATTGTCATTCAAATTGCAAAAGCATTGAAAGCTGAGAATAGGCCTGGGCAGGAAGGGGGTACAAGTGCCCAGTAGGCAAGTGGTAAGTGACTTACAGCTCTCAACACTTTGACTTCTGGTCCAGGGCCCATGGCCCACTGCAAGGGTAGATTTTTTTTTTTCTAAATCCTGGAGTTGGTCTTCAAAGATTCCATGCACATGCAAACTTAATGGGTGTTGCATAAAGCTATCAATGCCCCCTACTAACTACATATGAGCAATAGCTTGTACACACTGAGCACTGCATTGTGGATTGAGAGAGGGGGTATGCATGTTTTCCCCATATCCACAATGGTAAGTTTTGTAATAGCCTGCTTAGGCAAGCAGGCATTCTAATAACTCTGTCACTTCACCTATACCGGACAACACCCTCCAAAATTATACTCACCTTGGCAGTGCACAAATGCTGCTCCTTCCTCAGTGGGAAATGTGTTGTTCAGGTGCCATAAGCAATACTTGGGGACTAGCATTCAATCATCAGGCTCGAACACTGTCACATGACACATCATTAAAGTGTTACTAAACCTACAACACTAAAATCAGTCTGTATATGCAGTAAAGCATGCTTCTTTTACTCACTGTGGAACCTAAGCGGTTAATCCATTGTGTGTAAAAAGACTGATCCTGTCTTCTCTGATCCTCCCCGTCTTCCATTGTCCTCCACTTATCTCCTGATAAGACATATTGTGTAGAGTCGCTCTGCACATGCTCAGTTTAGTGTGTATTGCTAGAGAGGCTTTTCTTTTCTGGGAAAGTGCATGTGATCAGCACAGGGCCAATCTTCACTGTCTAGACAGAGGTCAGGGGTTCTGCATCCTCCTAGAACAAAGTGAAAACTCCTCCTACAAGTTTTAACATATGCTCTGCTGGACACTGATAGAAATCACAAGACTACTCTAACTGCTGATGAGAAAATAATTTAATTTCCATGTTCTGTGTACTGTGGGAGACCAGATAGAGTGAATGCAGGGTCCTGGGTTTAGTAAGACTTTAACCTTGTGTAACACTCAACATAGAGCTTACAAAGGGTATTTTGCTGCAGTTTCAGTGGAGGAAGGATCAGCAGGAAAACAGGACAAAAGAGGTGTAATTTGCTCATGGGTGGAAAGAGTACCCCTGAATAGGTGACAGTCTCTATGCAGCTACAGTGTTTTTTTTTTTCTATGCTGTGAGCGTGTGATGTGTGCTTTAACCTCCTCGGCGGTATGATTCTTTCCGATTTTTTTTTTTTTGTGCTGAAAGCAGTACCATTTTTTGGAAATATGTAGTTTTTTATTGTAGGCTGTAATTTTTAGGAATAACTCACTGAAATCTGTACAAACAAGAGTCTAGTAAACATCCCGGGTATGATAAAACTTGGAGCACGAAATCATAAATTATAATTTATTAATCATAAAAATAAAAATATAATAAATTTAATTCAATAATATAATCAAACCAAAAACACTGAAATATGAAATAAAGAGGCAAATTCGCACATCGCTGAGCAAAGTCGCAAAATCGGTTTCAGTGTCTGATGACGAATTTCCCCATGAATCATTATCACTCAGTTCTGCAAGTGGTTCTAATTTACAATCGCTGTTCTAAAACCGCTTTTGACGTAAAGGGACGCTTTTTGGACGCCATGGACTTTTCTAAGTTTCAAGGCAGAAAGAACAGTCAAAATGCAGGCAGGGCACAGGACAAAGCAGTAGGGACAAAATGTATGTGAAATGCATTGAAACAGCAATGACAGCAAAAATGACATTTTTTTAAAAATTTCAAATTTGCCGCCGGTTCCGGTGCCCGTACGTCCCAGGGACCAAAACACGGAAGCCGGATGCCGGCATTGGCCGGAGGAGATGGCCGGGGACGCTGCAGGGGACACATCGCGGGAGCGAAGGACAAGGTAAGTGCTGCAGGGACCCCTGAGCAACGCTGCATGGTAAGCCCGAGTGTAGCTCGAGGTTACCGCTCTTGGTATTGAAATTTTACCCCGAGCTACACTCGGGAATACCGCCAGGGAGGTTAACAAGATCTTAAATATGTCAAATTTATGTGGGACCTCTTTCCCAGGAAAATACAAAATTAATTATAGTAGTTTTTTTGTATTTTGGTATAAGTTTTGTTACTATTTAGTAGGTCTTGCGACTTTTTAAAATTTTGGATGGAAGACCTTTTAAAAGTCAGTTTGGATGGTTACTAGCAGCAGGGGGGTTAGCAGTCAAATCATAAACATATGGACTATATTAGGTTAAATGATTTCATGGTCAAAAAATGATAGCAATGAGATGATGAAATGAGATTATTACTGATAAGAATGACTAATTTTTGCATGTTGCGTTCTGAAAGAAATCCATCTACATCTGTATAGCATATAACCACTGTATAAGATGCTGACCTGCGATTCACATTGAGCTGACCGCCGTTTGACACCACAATGGCAGCTGGTTAGTGTAGCTTGAGATTTCAAAGTGCTTCTGTATTTATAAATATTATGACTGATAAGAAGTACATAGCAAGCTGAAGACACTTTGCAAAAGAAGTCATAAGTTTAAGTGTTTGACCTACTCCCTGTTTGACCTCATTCTTAAAGATAATAGCTGACAATGTCAAGACCTTTCCTAGCCAATAAGGTCAATGGCTTGGTGACAGTGTATTTCCCTGCTCATGCCTTCAAAACATCAACAGTGACTAAACTACAGGCAAGCTCCAGTCTCGCTTTCCCACAATAAAACCTTTTATAATATGTACTAAAAACTTTAGAAAGGACTCTTTTTGTGACAATATTAGTAATGCTACCATGTCATTAAGAAGAATGTATATTTTGCATTTCTTTGGGGTACATTCCTTCCTTTTTGTTTAAAATTGCATAAAATATTATTAATAATAATTATTAATTGTTTTTAGTTATAATAGTTATTGTAAGCTTTAACAAGCAGGGCCTTCTAATTCCTTCTGTATTAAATTGTATTGTATCTACTGTCTGCCCTCATGTTGTAAAGAGCTGTGCAAACTATTGGTACTATATAAATCCTGTATTATAATGATAATAATAATAATAATCACACTACATTCTAGTGATCTAATAATTTTCAGTTCGACATGGAGGTTTCAGAGTATTTGTAAGCCGCTGCAATCTCTTGTGGACTGTTGGGCCTTCTTTAACAAATCAGCAAATTTAAAAATACATTTTTATTTAAAGTTAACTATTGAATTACTTTTTAATTATAATAATTATAATGTAATTTAAGTTAAGATAGCTTTATTCTTTTTTCACAAAACATGGACTTAACCATTTTAGAACTGTTTATCTTGTGAGGCAGATTATGTAGGGCACATAAAACTAACACTGATTCGATCACTAATATTTGGGCTGAGAACAGAACAGTGGCTGCACTTTGTTAAAGCATGTACATTTGCTAATTGTTTTATTCGCAAAATAGTAAAAAGTGTTCACTGAGGAATAAATACTTTAGAAATAAAATATTCTAAATGTATACATTGGTTGTTTCAGCCTGCCTTAAATTTGTTTGCTTTATGAAATTATTTTGCCTGTTACTATTTAGTTTGAGTGAAGAAAAAATGAATCACTGCTAAACGATAGATTTAACATTTTTTTTTTACTATATTTTATGCCAAGAAAAAAATGTGATTAATTCATAGACTGTGATATTTAGAAGAGTTCCTGATAACGTTTTTATTTATATATTTTTTTAGCTCCTGGTCTAACTGCAGTTGTTGGAGGACGACCAAAAGTGTAAGTATCTATCTTTGAGCCAAATATTTAGTTGATTGGACTGTCAGTGCCACCTTTTCCATGGAACTACTACCTTGATAGTTCTTAAAATGTATTTCCCTTTTAAAGTGTTACTAAACCCACAACAGTAAAATCAGTCTATATATGCAGTAAAGCATGCTTGTTATACTCATAGTGGAACCTAAGGAGTTAATCCTCTGCACTGTGTAAAAAAAAAAGCTGTCTGATCCTGTCTTCTCTGATCCTCCCCTTCTTTCACAGTCCCCATTCCACCTGCTGATAGTATAGAGCCCTAGGAAGCACTCTGCACATGCTCAGTTTGGTGTATATTGCTAAAGAGTTGTTTTTCTTTTTTTGTGTGGGGGTGTCATCGGCACAGGGCCAATCAGCACTGTCCGGACAGATGGTCAGGGGTCATGCAGACTTATAGGACAATCAGAATGAAAACATTTTGTACAAGCTTTAACCATTGCTTGGCCGGACACTGATAGAAGTCACAAAACTGTTATATACTGCTGATGAGATAAGGTATTTAGCAGTTTATAATTTCTAAAATAATTGCATTTCCATGTTCTGTGTACCATATGGACCGGATGCAGGGTCCTGGGTTTAGTAACACTTTATTAAAGTTCAGGTAAATACTTGCAGTATGAATGGCAAACTGTTTTTATTCAAACCTTTACCTTTGGATACCTAGACAGCATGGTTGATGGAAAGAACCTTGTAGTGTAAATATGTCCTTATAATCAATTTCTAAAAATTGTTTCAGCAAAGAATTTGGCTTTGTTTTCTGCTGATTAAACGTGTTTGTCATGACATACATTATGGTATTGATTAAGTGATTTGCCTTCTGGTAAAAACCGGTACTGTCTCATTTGTGTGTATAGATCCCCTGTCCTGAAGCCATTTTTCTTCCTGTATCCCAGGAAAGATGTCAAGGTAGGTTTTTTCTTTCTTTTCTCCGTTTTTATAAAAAAGCACATTTTACATTTTCTTACAGTACTACTAATAGGCAAACTGAGCCCTTTATTCTCTCGTACATCACTGGACCTACCAACAAAAAATAATTACCAAAAAAAAACTTATCTTAGATCCAGGCTTCTGGCTTTCTTGCCTAAGTGGTAGTGATTTCATTCAGTCTAACCTCAGAATCCTGGAAAAGCTAAGAACTACGAATCTCAAAGAATTCTCTCCTTCACTGTGTAATAAATACGTCTGGCAAGATTTTGGATCCTCCTAGTACTAGAATGCTAATAATGTCACAGGCACCTATGAAAATGGACTGAGGTGTTTACTTATTTGTTCATTTTTTATTTTTATTTGCAAAAGACTGCAAGGTCCGATTTAAAGCGGAATTCCAAACTATTGCTAATTATGCTTAGACCTACTCCTACCCCCCTTCTAAATCATATATTTTACTACCCTGTGAAAGGAAGATGCTTATACTTACCTATTCTCAGGATGTGCCGGTGATCATCTCTCAATGGCGGCTTCAGGGAAGAGGAGGGACAGCCAACAACAGTTGCCCCCCACAGCAAGCCTATGGGTGAAGTTACCGCCCAGTCATTTTCCACCCACTCTCCTGAAGCTGGCCACTAGGGAGATCATGTGACCAACTGGAGCTCCCTGAGAATAGGTAAGCATACACATATTTCTTCTACAGGGTAGTTAGAATAGGATTTAGAAGGAGGTGGGAGCAGGCTTAAGCATACAGTAGTTAGCATTAGGAAGCCTGGAGTTCCACTTTAAAGAGTGTTCCCATTTTGGCTCTGAAATGGGTCAAGTAGTAGTCTTAATAGGAAAATACACTGGTTGCCATTACTGAACTATCCTTTGAAAATGGTTATTTTCTACCTTATCTACCCTGTTCTAGCTCAGTTTAGCAATCCTGTTGCTGGTAGGTTGTCATTGACTCTATGATTACTAGTGTGCTCTTACTAAATAAGGCATTTATGTGCAGTACTGTAGTTTTTCTGTATATGGCTATACATTTGTGGTAATAGACTATGTATTATCCCATAAGCATATATTGATAGAGTTATAATGTTGTTTTCCTGTTAGATTGATATATTCATGGATGGAAACCATATAGAACAGTTTGTAGACGATCACTCATTCACTGTGGATGAATATATTTCTTCTGTTGAGCCTGTAACACCAGAAGTGCCCAAAGGTATGCTTTATAGATGGAATCAATCATCCTTTCATGGGTTTAGAGTTTTATTATTTTTTCATTAAAAGTGTTGCAACTTTAGGGGTACGTTGTGTAATTGGGCCTTTAAAATGGGCACTAATTTTGCCTGAAATAACTAGCTGCTGTTTAGTAATGCTGATTCTTGCTGTAGTCACTGCGATAACTGAAAAGATGTACTTGTGCACTATACTTTGCCATATCTTTCTTGCACTTTGGATACTTTGAAGAAATCAGTAAAAGCAAGTTCAAACAAAAGAAATCACCTTTGACCCCTTTTCTCCCATAATTTGTCCACACACTTCTGCTTTCAGGTGGCCACAGATTAAGTGATAAGCAATGTAATAGTCTCACATTGACAGCAGACCAGCTACTATAAGCAATGGTAAAGCCTCTTCACCTTCTAAAAGTCAAAGGGTGATCTACCGGTCACCATATCACTTCACTGGATCAGTGAACCTAGAAGTGCGAAAGCACATTTTTCTTAATATTCTGGGACTTTGTTTTAGTTCCAGGCTTTGGGGTGGGGTTGACCTCCAGGGAATGAAAAGATGACCTGGTGGACGGTCAGATCATTCCCTTAGCCATTAACTGCAGTATCCAGGTCACCCTGGAGGGTGGAATCTGAAATGAGGTAATCCAGGGTGAACTGAGTTTACAGTTGGGTTGGATGAAAGGATGACCCTCTGGTCATCTCATGACCTTCTGATATAAACCATAAGAAATTATTACTTTTGTCTGATACCTAAATACCAATTATCAGATACATCATAATGAACAATGAAAACAAGATGACTATTAGATAGATTTAAAAGCTTTCATTGTTTTCACCAGCTGCGATGTAGTTTTGCTAATATCCACAGCATCCAACTATCTAGAAAAACCATTGAGGAACAATATCAAGCTTTTGCTTTTTCTACTGATGAAAATGTCTTGTTTATTTCAAAAACCATAACACAATTCATACATGTTGAAGTAATCAGCTTAAATAAACTGTCACCACATTTTGTCCTGTTCAATAAACACCTGCTTGCAAGCTGTACATGATAAATTTAAAGTAGAACTCTTCTGCAGTTGGAGCTGTCTAAGCAGAGATACGGTGCTGCCAATCTGGCAGAAAATCAACACTTCCTGGAGTGTCAGATCCTGATTCTTTGGCCCCTACGTCATCACTACTAGTGATGTTTTTGCTGGATTTTCAGTGAAAACTGATGTGTGTGCACACTGACAGAAGGGGTGTTCACGGCTGATCTTGCTAAATATGAAGAAGCAGCTGCAGGGGGCCCAAAATTTTAAGGACGTAACACACTTAAAAGTGCTTATTTTCTACGACATTACTGCTGCTGATTTTAAAATTTCAGCAGAAAATGCCACAGTTAGTACAGATTGCACGCAGGTGCTTAGAGAACAGGGCAATATGTGGTAACTCAGTCTCTTTTGATGCAGTAAAATTATATGTGTTTAGGTATGAGGCCACCAAAAGCTAACGTTTTAGTTATAGGTGATGTTATAGGTGTCCACCTGGAAGTTTTGGGTGCCCACCACCACCACCACCACTTTTGTTTTCCAGGAACTCCTATTGTATCCTTCATATTATAAAATAAGTCCCCCTTTACACCTGGCCATTCCTTTTTTGAAGCATTAACAAACACACTTTATATCTAAGCAGCCCAAAATTGATGGAAAAAAAAAGACCAGCACCATGTTAGCTGCTGCAGTGCACCACAAAGCACCACATGTACATCTGAAGCCAGCCTAAATGAAAAATACAGCAAGTAGAGTGGGACCCCAAATTATGGTCACAACAGGTGTGCAGACTTTAGGAATTCAGAAGATCTCACCGTAGAGTCCTTAAGAGATATAGGACACTGGCAGTTTAACTCTCCAGCATCTATCATAAACTGAAATATACCTTTTGGGTGGACTTTACCTGTTAATTTTTTTTAAATGTTGTTTCTCTGCATAGTTTAAATGTACATAATGTCTTCTCCTTGGGGCATCTATGCTTGCTCATTACATGTAACATATTCAGCCGAGCTTCCTGCTTCACATATTCTTGTTCTTCACGGTTTCTTGATTTAAACCTGGTGGTCATAGACAGTTATGTGTCTCCCTTCCCTGAGAATTAATGCTAAGACTTAAACTGCTCATAGATGGATCAAAATTCAGTTGAACAGGGAACGTCCGAATTTCGGTCCATCTATGGCCATTCCCACTTGATAGAAGCCAATCTGTTGATCGGGACTGTTGGAAAGTTTTTGTGGGTCAGCGACATGCAGTCGCTGATCAATATATTTTGACAACAAAGGTGTCAAAATGCAATGGCACAGTGAGGACTCCATCCTCATGTGTGGGTGGGGAAGTCCACTGGCTGATCCAAAAAAATTACCATCTTAAGTCCAGCCATAAGCTGCCATAGACCAGCTAAATTTCAATCTATATTTCGGCTTTCCTGCTTTAGCAAATGGCTTCTGTCGAATGGGACTATTGGAAGATTCTTGTCGATGAACAGCTTGCAGCCAGTCAGCTAAAGCAGCTGATCAGTGTATACTGACAGTGGAGGAGTCTTGCTGTCAGAATACCATGGCACAGTGGGGAGGATTCCTCCATCCACCTCGTATGTCGTAACTTATTTTTTTTTTCCATCAGCCTGCTGGTCTATGGCAGCCTTACGCAGCGGTACTATAGTGCACATGCATTCTTTATTCTTTTTTCCCTGCTCCATAACAGAGGAAAGGATTGGGTCAGGTTGCAAGGGAAGTTTTTTTTTTTCAATAGGTCATTAAATCTTCTTGTGCACTAACTGCCTCTTGGATTCTGAAACTTAGAAATGTAAAATAAGCAAAGTAAATTAATGAACATCACTTGCAAATATTGGCCCATGGCCATTCTCAGTCAGTAATTCACTTGAGTCATTTGCAGTGACTCAGTGAACACAACACATTTTCTATGTGGCTGATTTCTTTATCATTGTGTAGTTGCAATGTAGTACACATCTGTCCTAGTGGACAACTAATCATTAACAAACAAATAAATTCAACTGCTCAAATTCCCCACTTTCACAATGTACAAAGCTGCAAACGCTTTAAGAGGACATCCTCTCTTAAAATTAAATCGCAATTAAATGTTGCACTATGTGTGAAAGAAATTCCGTTTAAACAAACATAATAATCGTGTAGACAACTATAAATACACAATAAAATGTGCAAAGTGATACATATAAGTGATATCATATACGTTCCATGTGAGGAACAATAAAGTATTCAAAGTCCACATGAGTGACAACTTCCACAAACAATTCGCAAAAAAAGACATCCGTTTCTTGAATACAGTAACCGTAATATTGATCTCCTTTTCATCCAACAAATCACCAATCGGTCCACCACCATACGTGTAAAATGGAGGCTTACCAGATAAGAAGACCCCTTATTATAGGGGGTCCTATTAGGCTCTATATAGATGTAGCTCCATCTGGACCTCTATATCGTAACCAAGACCCAGATTCCACTTAGGTCAGTAAGCCGTTCCCATAGCGGTATCAGGACAATGTCATGTAAAATAAAGCATGCCTGTCATAGTGCAGTAAAACTAATGTGCCTTTATTATGCAAAAAAAATCCTATTTACAAACATAAAAAGGAATATCAGCATTCATATACAGCTTGCAAAAAAAATCCTATTTACAAACATAAAAAGGAATATCCGCATTCATATACAGCTTCCAAAATGGCAGACAGCGCGATGACATCCGAGGGAGGCTCCACCCAACGAGTTTCATCATCAACATTTAATTGCTATTTAATCTACAAATCATGTTCGTAAAGTAACAAGGGAAATTTGGTACAGCAAATGTTAAAATCACATCAGAAATAAAGAGTAACTCCACTTTTAGTGCAAAAAACATTTCCCTCTGGATGATTTATGTACATTGCAAGTATTTTAACAAACTTTGTTGAAGATTCCTACATTTGTTTTGTGAAGTAATAGCGGTTTGTTTGTCTGTGTCCATGTGTAGTGTGAATCTGTATGGGAATGGTTGTATAATTATCAATCAGCTGCTGCACCTGCAGGGTTGTAATGAAGAAATTGGCAGGGTCTGCATCCCTTTAGATATGATTTCCCCTTGGGAGTATCTCACCAAAAATGACATTGCAGGGGATGCCACAAATGTGACTTGTATCTTCATGCAGAAAATCAGTAACCCAATCACTTATGCAGGAAATAACATTTTCAGGGGGTGTTCTGTACAGAAAGCCCCCAGTATCCATATTGCATGGCATTTTACAGAAAATTACAGGGCTGCAGATTGAAAAGAAAGATCATTTTTCATAATATTCAGTTACACTATGACTTAAGTCACAATTTTTTTTTTTTTATGTTTTTTTTTTTTTTATTTGCTAGTTTTTTTTCTTAAAAATGTGTAGTTACTCTTTAAAGGTAAACATTAAAATATTAGCTCACAAAAACACATGCTCACTAAAATACTCTATAGTTTCTATAACAACTGTTGTCCTTTACATGGAATACTGGTTTTCTCTCAACTATACTGTACATTATCAATATTATATTGTTGCTTCTTTCTTCAGATCTACCAAGTGGTCCTTATTCATATCGCTTAGAGGAGCTGGCGTATACAAGAAGTGGAGACAAAGGAAACACTGCAAACATAGGTTTATTTATGTTTCTTCATACTTACATATACATTTCTATACAGTAAGTGCTCAGTAGCCCAAACCTTGTAAGATGATGCTAGAATACAATGCAGTCTCGCATTTTCATGAGATTTAGGGAGCATTCTCTGGGGCCTTGCTAAAATAGGATCTTGTATAGGAATTAGTGCTGCATTCAAACCACTTAGCCCTGGTTCACACTGAATGCGATATCAAAGTGGTACGATTTGGTCCCATTTAAAACGCAACTTCAAAGTAGCACTGATATAGACACAGGTGCAATTTTAGTGCCATTTAACATATAGTTTATGAGAGTTAATATTGAAGTGTTTCAAGAGTAATGCAGGAACTATTTTTCAAATTTTGCTGCATGAAATCACACCTATTAAGACAGTGCCATATAAATACATTAGATGCAACTTCAGGTGCGATTTGTAAATTGCATGTTGCAGCAGTGTAAACCAGGGCTTAGTGAATTATCAATTCAATACATATAAACACCAGAAAATGACACAAAAGTGTAACTATTGCAATCACAGTACATAAATGTATAAGTACTAAAACAAACTAAAACACCATGAAGCAAAAAGTGAAATAAACAGTACACCATGATATCTAAATGGTGCAAAATCAAAACTAAAGCAATATGTAAAAATTCCAAAATACCCAAACCTCTGTGTAATGTGAACTCCAGGTGAATAGCCACCACTATCCCTTTTGAGGATAAGCGCTCACCTTAAGATATGACCTTCATGGCAAAGATCAAATTGCACATCTTTATTATACCAGGATCAAGCAAGGGGCTTAGTGATGTACACAGAAATGGAAACCATCCAGACTGCTTCGGCCAACATGTATTACCAGCATGACTCCATTAGGCACACAAAATACTGCTTCAGTAATTATCCAGCAAGGTAAACTATACAGGGAGAAATTCCCAGTGATAATGCTCAAAGAAGCAGAAAAAGGAACATAGTGTTCACCACTTAAAAACTATTTTTATTAATGAATTGCTGACATAAGGCAGAGGGAAAAGAGCTGTATATAGTGGTATATATGTATATATATATATATATATCTCTATATCTATCTCGTATAAATACTTTTTTTTATAAGGATCACATATCTTCTGTGCACACTGATCTTCCCCATGAATGACTGTTCAGGGTGGGTGTCAGCAGAATTCTGATCATAGGAGGCAGGCCCGGACTGGCCATAGGGCACACCCGGCATTTTTCTTTCTTTCCTCCTTTCTTTTTCTCCTTTCTTTCCCTCCTTTCTTTTTCCTTTCTTTCCCTCCTTTCTTTTCCCTCCTTTCTTTCCCTCCTTTCTTTCCCTCCTTTCTTTTCTCCTTTTATTTTTCTCCTTTCTTTCCCTCCTTCCTTTTTCTTTTTTCTTTCTTTTTCTTTCCCTCCTTTCGTTTTCTCCTTTCTTTCCCTCCTTTCTCTTTCATTCCCTCCATTCTTTCCCTTTTCCTTCTTTCTTTTTCTTTCCCTCCTTTCTTTCCCTTTCCCTCCCTTTTTCTTTCCCACCTTTCTTTCTTCCTACAAAGAAATTTAAAAAAATAATAAAATATAAAATTGTAAAAAATGAAATAAAAATAAAAACCTATTGACACTAGTGGCAAATTTACCGGGGTCACAAAGGTCGTTCTTGCGACCAGGCCCTGGCGTTCTGCCACCAGGCTCAGAGGAAAGGGTCCCCGGGCTTTGGGCTGCTCAGTCCAAAATTCCCAGGCCTATTTTTTGTCCCAGTCCGGGCCACACTATATTGCCAAAAGTATTGGGACGCCTGCCTTTACACGTACATGAACTTTAATGGCATCCCAGTCTTAGTCCGTAGGGTTCAATATTGAATTGGCCCACCCTTTGCAGCTGTAACAGCTTCAACTCTTTTGGGAAGGCTGTCCATATGATTTAGGAGTGTGTCTATGTTTGACCATCGTTCCAGAAGCGCATTTGTGGGGTCAGGCACTGATGCCGGATGAGAAAGCCTGGCTTGCAGTCTGCTCTACCAATTCAACCCAAAGGTGTTCTATCGGGTTGAGGTCAGGACTCAACTCTTTATTCCCATAAAGTTGGGAGCATGAAGTTGTCCAAAATGTCTTAATATGCCTGTTAAGAGTTCCTTTCAGTGGAACTAAAGGGGCCAAGCACATCCCCTGAAAAACAACCCCACACCATAATCCCCCCTCCACCAAACTTACACTTGGAACAATGCAGTCAGGCAAGTACTGTTCTCTGGAAACCAAACCCACACATATCCATTGGTTTGCCAGACAGAGAAGCGTGATTGGTCACTCCAGTGAACACGTCTCCACTGCTCTAGAGTCCAGTGGCGGTGTGGTTTACACCACTGCATCCGACTCTTTGCATTGCACTTGGTGATATCAGGTTTGGATGCAGCTGCTCGGCCATGGAAACCCATTCCATGAAGCTCTCTGTTGTGCTAATCTGAAGGCACCAGGAAGTTTGGAGGTCTTTAGCTATTGACTCTGCAGACAGTTGGTGACTTCTGTGCACTGTACGCTTCAGCATGTGCTGACCCCTCTCTGTCATTTTACATGGCATACCACTTCATGGCTGAGTTTCTGTTGTTCCCAGTTGCTTCCACTTTTTTATAAAACCACTAACAGTTGACCGTGGAATATTTAGTAGCAAGAAAATTTCACAGGTGGACTTATTGCACAGGTGGCAACCTATCACGGTACCATGCTTGAATTCACTGAGCTCCTGCAAACGACCCATTCTTTCACAAATGTCTGTAGAAGCAGTCTGCATGTGTAGGTGCTTGATTTTATACACCTGTGGTCATGGAGATGATTGGGACTCCTGAATCCAATGATTTGGAGGGGTGTCCCAATACTTTTGGCAACATAGTCTATATATACACACGTACAATCTACCTTGCAGCACTCTGCTCCACTGGCACATTATTTCCTTGCCTGCAGATTCAGAGTATAAATATAAGCAGAGCTCAATGAGAGATCTTTACCATCTCTCCACCAGCACACACAGTGATGATGCTCACGCGAACAGGGTGATTAGGGTGTACCCAGGCACACCCAGCACACCCTGTGTGCACGCCTTTGTTTGCCAAAACGTTTACAGCAGTGTGCTGCATTCTTTTATCAAGGGCTGCTGTCAGAAAGGACAGCTGTAACAATGACTCTCCCACTATTATCTGCAAGACAGAGCAGTTTCACAGTTCAGTCCTGCACATTACAGCACATATCTGGGCACTGCACAAGGAGGAAAGGCTGTCTTCCCAGTGCACTCCAAACTGTTTTGGCTGGCATTCTGCTTTAATGATGAAGTACAAACACAGCTGTATTGCATATTCCCTTTTTAACCTCTTGCCGACCGCGCATAGCCGAATGACGGCTTTCACCGCGGCCGGCCAGTTCTGAGTGGACGTCATATGACGTCCTCCCAGAACGCGCTCTCCTGCGCGCCCCAGGGGGCGCGCACCCGGCGATCTCCGTGATCGCTGTGTCCTACGGACACAGCTGATCACGTGATGTGGTGAAAGGCCGATCCGGCCTTTTACCACGTGATCAGCGGTGTCCAATGACACGCTGATCACAGGGAAATGCAAGTGCCGGTTCTCGGCTGCACTTTCCTCACGCTGTCAGATCGTGAGGAAAGTACTGCCGAGAACCGGCAGTTGTCAGAGCGGGGATCGGCACCGATCATCAGGGCACTGATGATCAGTGCCCTGATGATCGGTGCCCAGCTGACACCCGCAAGTTCCGCCCAGCAGTGCGCCCACTAGCCCCGCCCACCCGTTCCCAGCAGTGCCCCCACCTGTGCCCAGCAGTGCACCCACCTGTGCCACTCTGCAGTGCCACCTACCTGTGCCCAGAAGTGCCACCTACATTGCCCAGCAGTGCCACCCACCTGTGCCCACCAGTGCCACCCACCTGTGCCCACCAGTGCCACCCACCTGTGCCCACCCACCAGTGCTGCCCACCAGTGGCACCCACCAGTGCAGCCCAGCAGTGCCACCAGTCAGTGCCACCAGTCAGTGCCCAGGGGTTGTGCCAGTCAGTGCCGCCAGTCAGTGCCCAGAAGTGATGCCAGTCAGTGCCGTCTATCAGTACCCATCATCAGTGTCGCCTATCAGTGCCGCCTATCAGTGCTGCATATCGGTGCCGCCTATCCGTGACCCCTAATTAGTGCTGTCTATCAGTGCCGCCTATCCGTGCCACCTCATTAGTGCTGCCTATCAGTGCCCATCAGTGCCGCCTATCAGTGCCCATCAGTGCCGCTATCTGCCCATCAGTGCCGCCTCATCAACGCAAATCAGTGAAGGAGAAAAAATACCTGTTTGAAAAATTTTATAAAAGAAACAAACTTTTTTTTTTTTTTTTCAAATTTTTTGCACTTTTTTTAATTTATAGCGCAAAAAGTAAAGCGCCCAGTGGCGATTAAATACCACCAAAAGAAAGCTCTATTTGTGAGAAAAAAATGATCAAAATTTCATATGGGTACAATGTTGCATGACCGCGCAATTGTCAATCAAAGTGCGGCAGCGCAGAAAGCTGAAAATTGGCCTGGTAAGGAAGGGGGTATAAGTGCCTGGTAGGCAAGTGGTTAAGTAAATTAATTCAAAATAAAATCACTTTCTAAGCTCTAAAGAGTTAGGGGGCAAATATTCAGTACAAAAAAATAAATCTGTTGACTACATGAGAGCTCTACTTCTATTGCTGAAAAAAATAGAAGCAATGTAATGCTTAGCATGATAATAATAAGAAAATCTTATTTTCAAACTATTGATGTTATCTTGTGTTTTAGGTGTTGTAGCTCGCCATCCTTTATACTACCCATATCTGAAAAGAGCACTTAGTGCCCAAGTTGTAGAAGAATATTTCCAACATCTACTGCAGAAAGAAGTTGATAGTGAACAGCTCGTCACTAGGTATGCGCTGTATCCTTTTTGTGTCATGAATTCCACTGCAATGAATAGTGCATCAAACATACCGTATATGTACCTCAATCTTATTAGCAATACAAAGTTATTCTAAAGGCTTTTTTTTATAGAAAAAATAACAAACATGTTATACTTACCTGCTGTGTGCAGTGGTTTTGCACAGAGCAGCCCAGATCCTTCTCTTCTCAGGTCCCCCCACCCCTGACACCCCTGGCCCCTCCTTCCTGTCGGGTGCCCCCACAGCAAGCAGCTTGTAAAATACTGGGACAATATAGTCTGGTCAGATGAGACCGCAATTGGACTCTTTGGATGCCATAATACACACCATGTTTGGAGGTCATATGGCACTGCACAGCACCCCAAAAACACCATACCAACAGTGAAGTTTGGAGGTGGGGACATCATGGTATGGGGCTGTTTTTCAGTATTCACACATGGAGCCATGGCTCGGTCCCACCCCCTTTCTTTTCTCATTGGCTCACTGGCTGTGATTGACAGCAGTGGGAGCCAATGGCCCCCTCGCTTCTGTCTCTGCCAATGAGGAGTGGGAGTCCCAGGCTAACTGACTCCAGTACACATCGCTGGATTGAGAGGGGTCTTAGGTGATTAGTAGGGGGAGCTGGAGGGGATGTTGCACACAGAAGGTTTTTTTACCTTCATGCATAGAATGCATGAAATCAAAACCTTGAGCCTTTACAACCATTTTAACTGTGATCTTTTAATCAATATATTTGCAAGTTTGACATACCTGGATTTTTATAATTCGAACATTTACATAGCATAATATACCGGGTAAAATAAGTATTGAACACGTCTCCATTTTTCTCAGTAAATATATTTCTAAAGGTTCTATTGGCATAAAATTTTCACCACATGTTGGTAACAACCCATACGATCCATACACACAAATAAACCAAAACAAATAAGTTCATGAATTAGGTTATGTGGTAAAAAAATGGGATGACACGGAAAAAGTATTGAACACGCTAACTGAAATTTATTTCATACTTCGTACAAAATCCTTTGTTGGTAATGACAGCTTCAAGACGTCTCCATTATGGAGAAACTAGTCGCATGCATTGCTCAGGTGTGATTTTGGCCCATTCTTCCACACAAACAGTTTTCAAATCTTTTCTGTTGGATTCAAGTCAGGTGACTGGCTGGGGCATTCTAGCAGCTTTATTTTCTTTCTTTGAAAGCACTTGAGAGTTTCCTTGGCTTTGTGTTTTGGGATCATTGTCTTGGTGAAATGTCCGCCCTCGTTATATCTTCATAATTATGGTAGATGGCAGCAGATTTTTATCAAGAATATCTTGGTACATTTTTCCATTCATCCATCCTTCAATGCCATGATAAGTTTGCCAGTACCATATGCTGAAAAACAACCCCACACCACTGCTGGTATGGTGTTTTTGGGGTGATGTGCAGTGCCATATGACCTCCAAACATGGTGTGTATTCTGGCATTCAAAGAGTCCAATTGTGGTCTCATCTGACTAGACTATATTCTCCCAGTATTTCACAGGCTTGTCTAAATGTTGTGCTGTGAACTTTAGACGACCTTCAACATGCTTTTTTTTTCAGCAATGGAGTCTTGCGTAGTGAGCGCACATCCAGGCCATGGCGGTTAAATGCATTACTTATTGTTTTCTTTGAAACGATTGTACCTGCTAATTCCAGGTCTTTCTGAAGCTCTCCACCAGTGGTCCTTTGACAACTCTTCTGATAATTCTTTTCACTCCTCTGTCAGAAATCTTGCAAGGAGCACCTGGTCGTGGCCAATTTTTATAGTGAAATTATGTTCTTTCCACTTCCGGATTATGGCCCCAAAAGTGCTCACTGGACCATTCAGAAGTTTAGAAATCCTTCTGTAACTAATGCCATCAGTATGTTTTGCAACAATAAGGTTGCAAAGGTCTTGAGAGTTGTTTGCTTTTACCCATCATGAGATTTTTCTTGTGTGACACCTTGGTAATGAGACACCTTTTTATAGGCCATCAGTTGAGACTGAACCAGCTGATATTAATTTGCATTGACAAGGGGCAGGATTGCGTTCTAATTACTGATAGATTTCAGCTGGTGTCTTGGCTTTCCATGCCTTTTTGCACCTCCCTTTCTTCATGTGTTCAATACTTTTTTCCCTGTGACATTCCATTTTATTACACATAACTTAATTTCTGGACTTATTTGTTTTGGTTTCTTTGTATGTATGGATTGCATGGGTTGTTACCGACATATGGTAAAAATGTCATGTCAATAGCACCTTTAGAAATATATTTACTGAGAAAAATGGTGACGTGTTCAATGCTTCTTCTACCTGCTGTATATCAAAATGAAATATTGTCAGCTCTCAACATTCACATTATTCAGGATATTTTTGTCTCGTTCATTTCCACCCAGTGCTGATGGTTTAGTTTCACATGAATACTCGTAAATGGATGTTCAGGCTTACTGTTTAGATTATTCGAGGGTGCCAATGTTGAGATGTTTCCACCAGAACTAACAGCTCCGTCGTCTACGAAGGAATAAGATTATTTTGGGCTCCAGCTATATTACCTATATTGTAAGGGGCAAATGCACTACTCAGACCCACCTTCCCAAGTCATTTTCACCACATGTAGATTTTAAAAAATATATTCAAAAGCTAACAGAGTTTATAGGTTCTGACTTCACCACACACTGCAACTTTGTACTCTGAGGCTTGTAAGGCTAACATCACACATACACTGGGCACTTGCAGTTAAAGGGTAGGCAGTGTCAGCCTAGGGATAGGAGTACTGCAGTGCTATATGGGCCAAGTAGTGTGTCTGCCATAGATGCATGGTGAGGATGGCCTAGGGATAGGAGATGCAGAACCACAGTGCACTTACACCTTAATTTCAGGTGGTTTTTGGTATGAAAAAAAAACTATCCAAATAACCATTTTATTTAAAGAGAAAATAAAGTCTGCAATACTTTTGTTTGCTTCAGCGGTCTGAGATCTGGCGCTAGCATCTTTTCTTCAACATGTTACGTGTACCATCTTTGGCCATCTTATTTGGCCAACGAAGGGTGACCTCAATCCCACGCAAGCACAGAAATACAATCCCAACACACAGGCACTCTGCTGGAATGTAACCTGACCTGCAACCTCTCTCATAGGCGTCAGAGGCAGGAGAACTCACAGGGACAGTGAGGGGACCATTTCCCAAGAAGAAAACAAGCAGGGAAAAATGTCTGGTCCTCAGAGTAGGAAATTAGCTTTGCTCATAGAGGAAACTGACTTTGATCCATTACACCTCAAAATTTTAGGAAAAGATGTTTGGAATCAAGACTGAGGAATAATTGATGCACAATGCACTGTTTACATTTCATTTTTCCTGGAGTTGTGCTTTGACTGTCCCCTTCAGCCTTTTTTGCAGCTTACCAATCCTTAAATGCGGTAGCTGTATTAGTTTGCTTTTTTTTTTTTTAGACTTTTTGGTTTATTTTCACCTTGTGATCCAGTCAGTAATAATTTTCCAATTCTTTCTTTTTCCAAGGACCCTTTCACACAAGGGAGTTGATGGGGTTCATCAGGCCAATCAGTCCATCCATAGATCTATGGACTGGTGTGTGTCAGTGGAGAGGTGGTGGTTTCCATCCGACCATCCCATTGAAATCAGCGGGCTGTGTCTGTGTCCGCTGTGCAGCAGCAGAGCAGACAAAGACAGGTCATCCGCCTGTTCACTGGGATCAGCGGAGAGATTCCCCGCTGAGCAGGCAGATCACGCTGATGGATATTCCCCGTTTGAAACAGGCCTTAGAGTATCTGCATTCTGGATGGAGGACAGAAAAAGCAACATTGTCAACCTGGGGAAGGGGTTATGTTAGTTAAGTCCATCTAAATCTGCTAGTGCATCTAACATATTAGCCACTTCTCTACCAACTGAACTGAAGATTAGTTAACCCCCTCAAAAAGTATATATTTTCTGAAAGCAAAAATTTTAGTGAATATAAATGGTGGCTGCTGCATTTTTTTAAGTTGTGTGATATTGCACACTTTTGTTAAATGCAAATTTTATATTACTCAAAAGAAGTTGTGATGAGTAGATACCCAACCCGTCAATCTTTAAAATTGTGTACGCCTGTGAAACGGTGACAAACGTTGGTACAAAAAATTGTCCATAGATGTTGCTTTAAAAGCCTCTATCATTTTGGAGTTAACCCCCCACCCAACTGCAAGTGTAAACAAGGCCTTAGGGGCTCATTCACATGGGCAGATAGGAGGGCAGTAAAAGCAAGCAATTGAGCTGCTTTTTTTTTATCATCCCCTAACCACGTACCTGAACAAGGAGATTTATCTGCACAGGGCTGTACACATGTCATGGCCTGATGCTTTGTTTCATGGCCATGAGATAAATTAAATAGACTGGTGCAATGCTACAACTGCATGTAGTGCACACAGCTGCATTGTAGTGGGACAGTGGGTTAAAACAGGCAGTGAGGTGCACTCGCCCACAAAAGGATGGGCTTGCCTTGAGGACTCTTTCTTTCCCTCTCTTCTGGCACTGATTCCTTGGCTCCCATCGAAACATATCCGCATGATGCTTCATACACACCCATTCATTGGAGCAACCTTGAAGATCTTTCAATTGGCGTGCAAATCTGCTTTCATTTCAGATGCCCCTAACCCTCTTACCTCCCTACGCATGAATCTGGAATTCCCACCGGGCCTGCACCCATCTTTTCTAGCTGATCATTGGCCTCACTAACATGTGCGTGCAGAACACTTCTTTTGTAATGGCCAACTGAAGACCCTAGCCTCACTCGCCCCCTCCATGAAGGATCATACCTTCCCCTTTTGGGCATATCTCCAAAAAAGACACTTTCTCCGCTCAAAAACTCACCGCAACAAATGGACTCACCCTGTTCGAATCCCTTTGCTCCAAAATGGAACCCCAACGACACTTGGTTTCCACCAGGTATCTTCTCCTATTTGGAGACCAAACCCCTTTCACACTCCTGGCTTGCCGAGCATGGATGAGAGATTTAGAGATCAACTTAACTTCTTCGGATTGGGACCAAATATTCACTTATGCACATAAAGGTTCTTTGAATGTTTCAACTCAAGAAAATGGATATAAACTGCCTTCCCGCTGGTACAGGACCCCCTGCAGACTCCATCTCTTTAACCCGATCTTACCCAAATCTTGTTGGAGATGTGATTCCGAGGATGGTTCACTTCTTCATATTTGGTGGTCCTATCCAGCCATCCAACCCTTCTGGAAAGAGGTTCACCGCATAACCTCGTTGGTCTCCTCACTACCTCTCAAATTTTCCCCAGTCCAATATCTCCTCTATCCCCAGGCACCTCTACTTCAAATCGCTAGCAATGCACATGTTAAACACAGCCAAATTAAGCATACTAGTCCTATGGAGATTTACCCGACCCCCATCGATTTGAGATTGGCTGATTCGTCTGAATGGAGTGGCAGAGATGGAGGAACTCATCGAATCATCACGCGATAATCCGACTAAATTCTTGCACACATGGGCCTGCTGGATCCACTTCCAAACGACTCCCGAATACCACTCCATTATGGGTTTCCCTCCTTGACAGACCCCGATCCTGGAGCCCTTTTCCGCTTGCTTGACTGAATGTTTTACCCAACCTTCCCCCTTGGAACTGAGTGCCCTTCTCTTTATTCTTAGTTAGAGGAAATGCAAATTTCCTTATTGTCAGGCCCCTGATGAACTGATCCCAATCTCTACCCCCTTGGGTTGTTCCCTAGGCTCTGCCCATTCTACCAGCCATCAAATCTAAGAAATGGTAAGCTGCAATGTATAACATTTTGTTCTTGGGTTTAGTAGCTCTTTAAAGCAGACTGTTTAGCTACTTATTGCCCATTTATATGTCCTGGTTTACTTATAAAAACAAGGGGCTTTATTCATCATTATTCTTTATGTAACAGTTACTCATTTCCCTATTATCCCCAATCATATGCAAAGCTGCACTGAAAAATGACAGCTCCCGAAAGGAAGTGTAAATCTAACTGGTTGAGGTGGGATAATACTGACCGTTCTTGTAGGACAGGTGGATAAATCCTAAATAATAGCAATAGTAAATTATTAAAGAGTACAATGTGAGTTGTAAATTGTGCGTTTGAAGTTGATTATTTCTTGCCGGCACACACTTTCTTCTATAACCTGATAATCAGCCTTTAGTGAATATGCACAGTAGGGTGAATTGTTCCTTTCATAGTGCACTTCAGGTCACATAGTTTAGCTGTCATGTTACAAATAAGATCTATATAAGCTCTTATAATGCCTTTCTTGCAACTTCTGTTAGCATCAATTGTAAAAAGAATGCTAATAAAAAAAGGTTTTTGCTTTGTGACTATTACCTATTCAGTATCAACACATTAAATAACTAAAACATGGGAAGTGGAACAAAGTAATTATAAATGAAGTCACTGGTATAGAACTACTCATAGACTAAATCAGTTATCTGCACTGAACCCAAAGATATTTTGGAGGTGCATGGTGTGGGAAGGCACCTATTTGCATATATGGTGGAATTGCCCATTAATTAAAACATTCTGGGAAGGTGTAGAGCAGATAACTAATCAGCTATTGTCTACAAATCTTGAGTGGACCCCGGAGATGGTTTTGCTCTCGGCAATTCGTAGTTCCATGTTCTCAATTAAAAAAATCATTGCTGAGGTTTCATTGTTTTGTGCATCTAGAACCTTAAATTCTAGACATTGGCAATCTATAAATACCTCCAGAGGTGGGGGAATGGATAGTGGAGATGTGCTATTTGATGAGGATGGAGGAAATGATTGCCCAACAACCGGACAGACAGTTTCGTATATGGAGACATGGAATGAGGCCTCTGACCTCACTTGAGTTGTTTTAAATTGTTTATGATTTTGCTTACGAATTTTATTCTTGAAAAAGTACTGTTAGTATGCTCTCCTCTCCTTTCCCTTTTTTTTTTTTTTTTTGTTATATTAGTCTATGTATTGTATGGGACTAGCACATGCTAATGTCCTATATTATAGCTGTAGTTAAGAGAGCTATAGTAATTTAAAGAAGGAGGAGGACTTTTTTGGCATAAATTTACTACATAAGTATGTATATTATTGTTTATTTTTAAATGCCCATCTTATGAGATATCTTTTAGGCTTGGTTCACATCTATGCAATTTGCGTTTGATCGGTTTCTGTGGTGTTGCAATGCGTTTTGCGTTTTATGCACAAGCGGTTTTTCACACTTTTTTTGATATGTTTGGGGTTTTTAATGCTTTTTTTGGCCAGTTTGTTGTTGGGCAGATTAAAAAACGCAACACATCAACAATGCATCAAAAATACTTTACATGCTTTTCTGCAGCATCTACATTGAAGTCTATTGAACCAATAACACACCGTTTTACATTTAAAATAGTCCCTGACTCTTTCCAAAAATGCAGCAGCTGAAAAAAGCATAGATGTGAACGTGTTCTATAGAAAACCATGTTAAATTGACTGTAGTGCTTTTCTGCAAAAAGCACCAAGAAATGCATAGTTCTGAACCAGGCCTTAGTGTTTTAGTTTGTTTTCAAATCATCAAGTAATGTTTTACAGATATTTTATCAGAGACTGCAGAAGTGTTTAGTAGGTGGTATTAGTGTGAAAAGTATAACAAATTTTAAAAAAGAACAAAAACACAGTTTTATAATTACCTTTAAAATAAAGTCACTGATGCTTTTTAACAATTAATGCTGATGTGTGAAAATTGAGCAGTGCTAGGCTTTAAGGAATTCATTTCTCAAGCAATGCGCTTGAGGTTTACCTGAAACACTTTGTAAATGTTTTCTTCTGTTTTGTATGTTGGAGGATGCAGCTCTGCTTTAGGGCTCATGTACACTGCAGCTGCTAAACTGACATTTAGGAGCAGTTGTTAGTTTTTTTTTTTCAGCAGCCCCTGAACTCTCCTTTTTGTTTTTCCTGTGTGTCCATGTACACATAGTCATTTACAGTAGTTTACAGGCAGTTTAGGTTACAGGCATTTTTTTGAAAGCACAAAAATCGTGTCCAGGAGTAGAGTTTACCGGTGTTTCAAACGCCAAATGCTTGTAAACCCGTTAGACGCAGTTTTGGGCTGGTCCATATCCAGATGATGTCCAGTGCATTTTTTCTTCATCAGAAATGCATGCACAGCGTTTTCCATGTATTCAAATGGACCTAGTACACCAGTGCAGTCAGTTCCAGGTTTCATGTGCAGGCAAAAATGGTAGAAAGTGCTGCATTATTTCTGCACAGAACTGTACTGGGACACATCAAAACACAGCAAAAAAGCACAAGGAGTGTTGTGTGTACTCCAGAATGCATCCGGAGGCATTACAGCACTACGTAGCTGCTCCCACAGTGCCAAGCATGTTTCACGAGCCACTTTTGCTACAGTTGCAACACCCATCAGAAAGTAGTGCTCTCTCTGCTTCTGCTCTATTTCTCACAAAATGTCTGAAATAGTTAATTATTTACTATTTTTCAGTGCATTCTGAACATTTAGGAGGATCTCCTGAGGTTATCTTTTAAAAAGGCTTCTAAATGCAAACGCGCATAAATGCAGTAGACTAAACAGACTAAACTGACGTTTTTAACCTACGATTTCTAGCAGTCAGTTTCCAGCGGTCAGAAAACACCCTGTGTACATGAGCCCTTAGATCATCACCTACTGCAAAAACATGGGGCTGGTCTTGGACACCAACCAGGCCAAAGTTCCTTCTCAGAAAACTATGGAAACTGCAACTTCAGGTTTGCCTTTTGCCTAATCTCTAGCATCCAACAAAACAGACCCCATCTGGACACTCAAAGTTCCAGCACATTGATAGGATTCTTGAAGCTCGGAGGTGTCCCTGCTTCCCGAGTGGACAGTATTCTCCTCCCAGCCACACAAGCTGGCTCCAGTCTGATTTACTATTGTCCAGAAACAAGAAACAACCTCCCCTATCCTTGTGAGCAAGCCAGCAGTGGTGAAATATGTCATGGCAGGTTGGTTCTAAGGTTGAGATATTGTAGGCAGTCATTTTGTTGACAACTAATAAACAATGCAAGAGGAGCTAGGAGTGGAGTGGCTGATACATTTTTTTTCATATTTCTAATGGAGAGTGGAGATGGGCTATAATGGCTGGCACCCAAATTGTTTGTTTATGTACAGGAGGAGAGAGTCTTAATTGGAGCTGTGGATTTGTGCATGTTCCTGGCATGGTGTTGTGCATTTGCTTTGAAATTGAATTGCCTTGAAAGCAGTTACCAGTGAGACCCAAAACTTGAATGTGGTGCTGAATGAACAACCACCTGCAAGTATGCAGTAAGTGAACCTGAAATTGTAGTTCTCCTAGTTTTTCTGCCTGAATTAACGTCTTGGCCTGGTTGGTATCCAAGGCCAGCCTCTGGTACTGTATTCCCGGTACGTGATGATTTACAGCAGAGCTGTGTCCTCCAAAAACGCAGAGACAATGGTTTTTTACTGTGAGTAAATTAATCTTATCATTTTCTTGTCCAATAGGTATGAGCTACCAGGAACACACGCCTTAAACTTTGTCCTGAAGAATTCTCTGGGGGGTGGAGGTATTGCATCACTGAGGAGTGACCCTCAGGTAATGGCATCTACAAACTTATTTGTATGTGTGACTGTATGCAGCACCCAGTTCCCCAGGTGCTAGAAAGTGCCAGAATTGTTACACTACAAGAATCGAGAGCATGTAAGCATCCGTGTGTGTGAGGCCATACAGGTACATAAAAAAAGAAAATATACATGTAACGATTTAATAACAGTGTAGCCAGATACAAATAATAAAGACAGCCCATCCACTTCAACAAATGAGATGACATGTGATAATAATTGTATCTTCACACCCGGTTCACACCAATGTGGTGCAGGAAATGCTGCAAATCCTGTGCGTTTCCTGCTCCGCATGGCAAATTGTATCACGTTCATGCAATCTGGTGTGAGTGTCAATGATAAATTAATGACACCTCGAAAGAGATTGCAACACGTTTTATTGCAACACGAGATTTTATCACTCACAAACACATGCAGGCTCCATCTTCGCAACATTGCCAAGATCCGCTCCTTCCTCACCCCAGACACCACCAAACTTCTAGTACACTCCCTCATCATCTCACGCCTTGACTACTGCAACTCCCTCCTCACTGGCCTACCCAAGTGCAGGCTCTCCCCGCTCCAGACCATCCTGAACTCAGCTGCCAGACTCATCCACCTTACCACCCGCTCCACCTCTGCCACCCCCCTCTGCCTCTCCCTCCACTGGCTCCCGATTGCCCAACGCATCAAATTTAAACTCCTTACCCTGACCTACAAAGCCGTTCACAACACTGCCCCTGACTACCTCACCAATCTGATCACCAGGTACCACCCTACCCGTACCCTTCGCTCCTCACAGGACCTCCTTCTATCCTGCTCCCTGGTCTCCTCCTCCCATGCACGACTGCAGGACTTCTCCAGGTCCTCCCCCATCCTCTGGAACTCACTGCCCCAATCCATCAGACTGTCGCCTTCTCTATTCACATTCAGGCGCTCCCTCAAAACCCATCTCTTCAGGGAAGCCTACCCCACCCTCACCTAACGGCCATCCTCCCTCATTCCTCCTACCACTTCATCCCCCCCAGCCACTTCCTACTGTACCTTTACCCCCTCCCTCCTAGATTGTAAGCTCGTAAGAGTAGGGCCCTCTTACCCCTCGTACGCTGTCTGTCTTTGTTGTACTGTGCCATGTATTGTCCCCCCCCTATTGTACAGCGCTGAGCAAACCCTTTGGCGCTATATAAACTCGTAGTAATAATAATAATAATAATAATAATAACACGTGATGCGATTACCAGAAATTACATCGCATGGGTGTTCTCAGGTGCGGATCTAAAAAAAAGGGTTCTGCACCCTTTTGGTGCGGATGCGATTTGAACCATACAAAATGTATGACTCAAATCGCACCACACAGACATTTGCATGTAATTTGCACAGAAATGCAGTGTGATTCCTATGCAAATTACATGCGGCGTCCCATACACGAACCGGGGCTCAACAGAGAGAGATATTTGTTTTAAATGTAAACTGTGTGTGTAAAAGTACTGCTCCTTGTTTTATGGACCATGTTATGGAAATCTACACACCACAATATTTTAGTTTTAAAGCTACCTTTGTGATTAAAGCAGCAGAGTTCAGTAAGTACAAGTCATTATTAAAAATGCAAAACGTATAGTTCTTACTGTTAAATAGGTTCTTCAGTCTGTAGAAAAAAAAAAATACTGTAGGTGCTGACTTTTACTATAAGGACACTTACCTGTCCAGGGATCCAGCACCTTTCTCAGCTGAGCAAGGTCTTCATCGGTCTTCGGGTCCCTGGCATCCCTCTACACACACGGAGCACTGCCCTTCGTGGACAATCCAATAGTCCCCTGAGACCTGTGACGTGTCCAAAAAGGTTTGGGGGAAAGGGGGGAGCGGACTTTTACTTTGGTAAATGAAGAAGTAAATGTGACAGCCGTAGTTTACATTTACTATATTAGACATAATAGCAAAAGAACTTGAGAGATCTCCTTGCTGAAAATATTATTCTGGATTATTTGATAATTGTTTTACTGCTGAAAAACTAAAACATTTTTGATTTGCAGAATAATAATTATTATTATTATACAGGATTTATATAGCGCCAATAGTTTGTGCAGCACTTTACAAAATGAAGGTAGACATTACAGTTACAATACAATTTGGTACAAGAGGAAACTGAGGGCCCTGCTCATTAGAGCTTACAATCTAGGAGAAATAAAAATGGGTTGGTTATATAGAACAGTCATTAGCCATTCCTAAATATACCATGTTTCTACAAACTACAACCACAGAGTAATGCATTAGTACAATTTCATTTAAAGCCCCTAGTTTTAAGAATGTTAGTTTTATTTTCTAATGGTTAGTGGGGTCAAATACACATTAGTTTTTTACCACAGCGATGGAAATATTTAAAGAAACAGGATGGATTTTTTTTCCAAATGAACAAATGTGGTTTTCATATGGGAAAGTCCGTCCATTCCAAAATTGGTTGTTAAAGGCAAACGAAATTTTGAAGTACTTTTGAATGACATTCCTCACATCATCAAATGTACTGAGAATTTTCGCATGAATGTTTGTACAAATGTTCATTTGAAAATCTACTAGTATATAGACAACTTGAAGCACTCCCCATTCACTATGATACACTGTAGTTCTGTCCTCTTCCAACTTTTCTTAGTGATCCAGCATGCCCGTCGGTATCTGTGGATCTGACAATAAGTACAATTTAGGTGGCTGAAAGAGAACAGGACATGACAGAACTACAAAGCTGAGTCATAATACAAGACAGCCACTTCTCACCCTGATCTACTCAAAACAGTTTAACTTTCTTTGAGTTTTCATTTAGCTTACTGATTTGTGCTTTCCTTCACTATGCCGGCATTTAACCTTTTTTTTTTTTTTTCTATTTCTTTATTTTAGGGGAAGGCATTTGGACAAATGCTACTAGACCTCGAAATCAAAAACGTCCCTGATCTAAAATCATTGATTGAATAAATGTTCATAGCTTTTATAAACACCTGTGGCAAAACAGTAAACAGTATTAGTAGAATTTATTTTCAGATAAACATTTTTTAGAAATCATTAACGGGTAAATATTAAAAGCTACCTAAACTACAATTATGCAGCTATACCTAAAATATTTGGTAATCATTTGGTAATGGTTTTTATTCAATTCCTGTACTGGTGTTTTAATAGCTTGTTGTCTTTTGATAGGTAAATGTGTTTGTATGTTTGGAATAGTATATGTGCTTCTCTGTGCATGCCAAAAACATAACTCTAAAGCATCAGGCCAGTCACAATGTCACTGGGAACACCAGTTTTCAGCTGGCAAATGTACAGGCCAGACATGTTCAACTCCCTTTGGAAAGCAATCCGCGGTGGATCACTTTTCAGACAGCAGTTGACAGGCACCTTGTAGGCGATGTGCTTAAAAAAGCAGGTAAAAGCACAAAAAAGACAAACAATTTTGCTTACTTGCAGTGTTTTACCTTTCCGTAAACAATGTTTTTATTCATTTGCAATGTGCCTTTGAACTTGCTAGGAAATTGCACTGCTCCAGACAGAGTAATTTCTCTAGCACCACTACAGTTTGCATTCCTCTTATTATGTTTTAGCCCTCTCCTCTTCTGGAAGTGTAGAAATACTGTCTTTGCTAACCCATTTTCTCTGGCCCTCGCCTCCCTACATAACGAAAAGTTGATTTCCATACTTAGGCTTTTTTCACATGGCTCTATCAATTTTACTGATGTTATTACACATGTGTTTTCTAGCAGAAAAGTTAACGCCTAATAATCAGTAACATATATGCATATATAGATGCATTTAAACACGTAAAGATAATAATGATAATGTATTTTTCCCCTTTGTTTAGACTTAATTTTTTGAGCTTACAAACATGTATACATACTTTTATATGCATAAGCACGTAAAGCACATTTTCTTAGAGGCAAATTTTTGGATTCTGTGTTACGGATCTGAATGCAGTGCATGTTTATGCACCTGTGTGAATGGCTCCATTGAAAACAATGCTGCTGCATTCAGATCTTTGGTTAAAAAAAACACTTGTATGTGCATTTTTTACGGCAACATGAATGAAGCATAACTATAATTTTCCTTTTTTGGTGCCTACAAATGGTGGTATAGATTTGGTAGGAGCCTCACCGCTAACTACCAACAGGATCAGTTATATCTATATGTTTTTGAGCCCAATGCTGATTATTTCAGTAAATAGAGTAAAACAACAAGGGTGGGCATGTATGCTATCATGGGTAGGCAGCATACATATGGTAACTAACTAACTTAACCAGGAGAGTACTGCTGTCTTCTCAAATTCCACAGTTGCTGGAACCCCTCAGCATGATTCCCAGGAATAAAAGACACCTCTGGTGGCGTGCATGGTAATCTTGTTTGGAGGATTTAACCCGTTAGTCTTGTAAGGCCCACTGGTTGATTTTAATGATCAAAGCAGAAATTGTCTGAGATGAAGCCTCATTGTACCTGTTTGCTCCTACTGCGTCTATAAACAGCCTTTTAAGTGCCTGAAGGAACATGTGGCTTTTATGTTGGCGCTCAGAGCTCAGAGGAAACAATCCTGATTTTCTGCCAGTTACCCTGAAAATTACTAATTCCATTGTAGGACCAAACAAGAATTTTCCTTGGAATAGTATCCTACATCATGACTGTTTGGATATGGGAACAGCTGCCCAAGGTTTCACCTACAGTGCCTATTTGGCTGTGACAGTGTGAAACGTGGCTTTTGCCAACTTCTGAATGGTTCCGATGTCTGCTTTGCCTCTGAAATCCGCCGACAACTTCAGTTTGCCTAGGACTCAGAAGATCAGATCCCTGTCTTCGACGACACTGTGTTGAGTCCATTTTTTTTACAGCTCTTGCTACAAGATTAAGGCAATCCTGGCTTTGCAAACCACTCTAATAGACTGGAATGCCTTCTTCAAATCAATGTCGATTCCCCTTTCTAAGACATCACTGAAGGTTATCGGATCATCCATCAGGAAGGTCACATTGTGCTCTAACCTCATAACTGTGGCATCCATAACTGACACTGAATCGGACACTATTTTGGAGAAGTGGCTATAAAGTGCTGGTCTTTTCTCTGGCTTCTTGTACTTTGTAAAAAATATGCCCGATCAATCCATCAGGAAAAAAAATTAGATTTTTTTTCCAAGTGTGCATAGTATCAAGTTGCTTTCTAAGGGACCTCTTCTGTCTTCCTCCACAGAATTAAAGTGGTTGAAGGGGTTGTAAATCTTTTGGAAGGAAAAATGAACAACACGTATTCTCATATAAAGTGTACTTGCCTCCATGTACAGCACCAAGTGTAGATCCTGGCAGCTTGCTCCTTCCCCTGCAATCTGCATCTGTAACTCCTGACAGTTTTCTGAACATGACGCAATCTATGTTGAAGGTCTGTCTCAGATGTACATGTTTCCCAATATGACTGTGTAAGTTTTCACTCAGCTTTCTGCTGTGCAATTTGTGATGTCAGATCTCTGGTCCCTGCCTTCTGGGAATTTAGGGAGAGATAGCCAGAGAGGGTGTAGATAAATAGGTACAGCCTGTTTGGTAAGATTTACTTCATCACTGTGTATCATCTGAGGGTGGCCAATTCAGTGGGCCTGTGTAAGGGTTTATTAGCACTTTAAGGACTTTACTGCAGCAATATATCAAAGACGAAGCAGAAGAGCTCAATCTATTCCTCTTCTTCCTCTCAATCTTCCTCCCCTGATTAGCTCATCTTCTCAGGCTGTTTAGGAATTATTATTTATTTATTTATTACAGGTACTTATATAGCGCCGTAAATTTACGCAGTGCTTTACATATATATTGTACATTCACATCAGTCCCTAATCCTCAAGGGGCGTACAATCTAAAGCCCCTAACTTACATTCATACATATACATATTGGGGCCAATTTAGACAGGATCCAATTAACCTACCAGCATGTCTTTGGAGAAGCATTCTGGATAATGACGAGACTGATCTGTGAGATCTTGAGGATAAAAGATCATGTCATGGGATTGTGAACTGCCAGATCTTCAGTCTTGGCCATCTATTACAGGGCTATGGACAGAGACAGAGCATTAGGATTGTGTGAATTGTTTTAGCATGAGATACCTACCTTTCAGGTGACCTCTTACCTAACAGGTGAATAAGAATATGTGCAGACAGGAAGCCATAGCTAACAAATTGAGCATTTAGAATAGCAGAGCAAAAAAATTGAACTAGAATAAAATGCTGCTACATCAAAAGTGCAAAAAAGAGCATATACACATCCACTTACAGGCTAGCAATAGGAGCCAGGCATCACAAAGGAAGAAAGCCTTGGGGTATAGCATGATGTACAGCCTGTGGCACCGGTGTACCTGGATACTTGTGGCCGTTGCCACTATTTCTGAGACTATTTAAGTGCCCCCCCGTACAAGAACAAGCCCCTTATCACCAGCAATACTTCCGACCCAGATGCAGACTTCTACAAAACGGCAAGTGGAAAACGGAAGTGATGTCATGCAAGAAACAGACATGAATAAGGAAAAATTGTGTTGACAATCCACAGATACTAGCCAGGCTTGGGAATACACTATGGACCAAGAACGAGTGCAAAAAACACAGCACAGTTAACCGCAAACAAGACCACAGGTGGATGGAGACCAAAGAGGAGAAAAAAGAACTAGGAAGGGAAGGGTGAAATACATGAGACAATATTCAAATTCCTATCTTGATTAACAAAATTCAGCTGCTAACTTGAGCACAATAGCCCTGGCCCCACAAGAGCCACAAAAGAGGTTCTTGTGACCTTATAGGTGCATTCAGCAATTGAAGATCCAGAGCCCAGGAGAGACTTAACATGAAAGGATACCATGTACACATGGGAGGTGAGGCGCACTTGCATCACTGGCTGATGGTTCCGTCAAGGACATCTATGTTAATGGACAGCATTGGGCTCAAGCACTTATATACATGGCTATCACTGGAGCTATCATTGGTCCTGCCGGTAGTCAAAAGCAGAGCTACTGCTATATGTATGCTGCCCAGCAGCAGTATCAGTCCTTTTGGATGTCTACACAAGATAGGCTTTTACAGGTAAATAACATGCATAAAATACATTTAAAAGAGATGTATGCCCCCCCCCATTATACTTACCTAGGTGGATGCTGCTTCTGTCCTCCACCAGCTCTAAGGCTACGTTCACACTAGCTTTGTCAGCAGGCATCAGACAGGCGTTTGGGAAGCGTTTTTAACGACTCTTAAACACCCATGAAAATTCTGCACATGACAGCACACTGTGCTGTTCACACTGAAGCGTTAGCGTCGCATCGCGGCAAAACTAACATCTCATGTTGAGTCAGGAAGAGTTGAAGCCTCCCATTCAAGTCTATGGTGACGCTTCTCAAACGCATGACAGGTGTTTGCAGAGCGTTTGTGAGGCATTTGTGGAGAGTTAATACCATTAAACTTCATTATAGGCATTTGTGGTGTGGTTTTAACACTTTGCAAAAGCCTATCACATGCCTCAAAACCACACATAGACGGGTGTTTGGGAAGCATTTTTAACACTCCCCAAACACCCTAACGCCTGTCAAAAGCTATAGGGGCGTTTGGCAGGAGTTAGAAATAAAGTCAAGTGTGAACGTAGCCTAAGTGTGAGAACTCAGCTGTTTACTGAGTTCTCACAGCCACTCAGAGCAGAGAGCAGCCACTGTCAGTCATCGCTCTCTGCTCTGCCCCCGCCCCCCACCCCACTCACTGGCTGTACATCTCCTTGAAGGCATATATAACTTATGTAGATAAAGTAATAAAGTGAGCGCTCTACAGTAAGCAGCTGAAACATTCAAGGAAACCAATAAAAACCTTGTCATAGACATATAATAAATAAGTGCAGCGCTAGAAATGAGTATAGATAAAAACTGTCACGAGTATAATAATAAATTAGCTGAAAGTATAAATGCTCAATAGCAGTGACAGTCTATATAATA